TCACCCATGGGTGCACCATCTAGTCCACAATGGTAGGGGCTGTGAGATGAACCAGTACACCGGGGTAACCCCTGCTCATCTCGAAAGATGCACTGGTTTCTTTATAGTACACATGAGCCAATGTGTACACTGGGCCTACGGTTTTATAATCCTTCTCCGAGAAGACTTGTTCCACCTCCAGAAGCATAGGCGAGCATGCCCTTCGAACCAGCGCCGATATTATGGCTGTAGGCTGCAGCGCCACTGCTTTAACCGCTTGGCCATTTTACTCGCCATACATCAACTTTACGCAAGGCACAAAACAATGGAAGGAGCATATCAATGGCTATGAATACACCATAAATTGGTTGTACAATCTAAAATAGAGAAGATCTTTTTTATCATTATTATTGTGTGGAATTTCCTGTTCAGTGATATCTGCAACTGTCTATCACTTAACATTTATGTCAGTCAAATTCAATCTAATGACATTTTTTTCCCATTTAATTAACTACAACTGATGTTTGAAATACAGGTGTATAATAATATGTCACAAGAAAGAATCAGTCTGATTTCTTGTTCGAAATTCTGTCTGTGCATTTTGAGAGAACTGTTTTTTGAAAACCCTGAAATTCCAAGATTAGACATAGACATTTACACAATGAAATCAGCAATGTGCAATGTCATAGATTCCGCAACAAGATTAAAAATAGATAGTTTTGCCTGCTGGAATTACTATTGTAGCTGCAGCACATAACAGTTCTGACACCACTTTCAAGCATAAATTTAATTAAACTTAATGGAAAACTACAGGTAATACATACAGGCAATGCCGTAGCCAGGATTTTTAAACAGTACGGTAAAATATCAGGGTGGACCCACTTTACGCGTAAATTCAAATAATGTGGACACATTTTACGCAAAAATATGAAAAATCTGAACCCAGTTTCTTAAATTGTACCCATTTTAAGCTAAATATGACAAATCTAGACATATTTTTTTTAAAGTGGACCCATTTTATGCATAAAATTACATAATTTGGACCCATTTTTAAAATTGTGGACTCATTCTTTGTGTGGGACTGTCCCAACTATCCCAATAGCTGGCTATAGCATTTCCTACAGGTATCTGGTTTTTTTATAATGAAAAATAAATATAACAATTTACTTTTTCCCATTTGGGGTTTTTTTTTTTCAAAAATTAAATTTTCAAAATGTTGTTGTTCTGTACAATGCAAATAATGTTACACAAAGCTAAACATTCTTCAGACACAATTTTTGATAAAAGCATCATTTAAACACAGATATTAATATATGATTTAATGCAACAGAAAGTCTTTCTTATTGTTGTTATTTTCTTATAAAATGTAAATTTAATTTAAGATGTCATATCACAGTCTGTTTTGAATGCCAAAAAAATGCTATTCATCTTTATCCTCTTCAGTGTATTGAAGTTTGAGGTCTGATAATTGGCGCCCTCTGTGTTCAAAGAAAGTTTTTAAGCAACTTATAATAACTTAAGCAAAAGGTATACTGTACAGTACCTTTTTTCACTTTTAAGAATCATGGATGATTGACAGTATTTATTATTTGTAAATAAAATCAGCTTACAGTCTTGAAAAAATGTGGTAAACCAATATAGCAATTTCCAGCTATCAAGTCAGTCTTAGCGGTACTCAGCTTTAACAAATTCTTTTAAAAGTAAATTAATTTGCCAATTTTAAACCATATTTAAGATATCAACATTTTTTTTTTGCAAATTTATGATGCCAGGTATAATTGAAATAATACAGACAAAAAAGTAAATTTTGTACCAAGTGGGAACAATATTACAGTACCAGTTAATTGAATTTGTATTAGCAGACAAACAGGCAGACAGACAGTAGGCTACATGCCTTGAAATTCTTAACTTAAAAAACTTAATAGTATTCCTTAAGAGCTATTTAATGTTTTTTATGGATATGTGATTTTATAATGAGACCAAGATGCCAAGATGATGAATTAAGGATGCACAATCTAGTAGAATGCTACCCTGGATGGATCAAGGTAAACCAGAGATTCTTGCTGACACTACTTGATAGTGTAGTGTGTTTTTAAGCTAAGTTAGACGAGACTTTTTAAAAATAAAATAAAATAAAGAAAAACCGTTGTGGGTTCGCTAAACAAGGCATAAAAGAAATTTTGCCTTAGTGTAGTAGATAGTACAGTAAACAAACATTGTACATTCCTATCAAAACTGAATAAAATCTGTTATGCAATAAAAAATAAATAGGAGGATGTAGAAGACATGGGACACCTTCAGATCTTCCTTCACGCTAAGATCAAGTGAATCAACAGCAAATATTTTATTCAGGCAGTCTCTACCCAAAAATGCATGAGCTGGCTTTGGACCGACATTGGTTGCATTTCGTTAGGGAAGTCACAAATTATCAACCATAACAGAGACAAAACAAAACAACTGGAAGATTTATTTTTTTAAAAGGAAGGAGAACATGGTATTTAGCACCAGGAAAAGGGAGTATAGTCTCTGAATTTCTTTGAAAAACCTGGAAGATTTGAATGTATGTTAACAAGTAGATCCCCATCACAGCAATTTTCAGTCCTGACTTGAATTTAGATTCAATTTGTTTTAGTCCAATGTATGGAAACACACGCGAGTACATACACCTCAAATCCCACACATATTTGGTTGTTAGAGTACCTGGTCTCAATTGATAAACCTTTGGTGGCCTAGGGATTGTCTTTCAAATGTTGCAATTGTTCTTATCAGAGAAGACATGGTTCTACTAATCGGACACTATGGGAGAGCCGGAGTTGAGGCATTAATTAGCAGCACCCCTGCCTTTAAGCTCTGCCACTCAACTCGGCCAGAAGACAAAAGATTAAAGCATGCCTGTTATTTAAGTACAAAATTAGTTTGTGGTAAGGCTACAGCAAAATGTTCCTCTATTTCCAAACATTTTTTTAATAAATGAATTTTAAAATAACTAATAAAGAATATTATTAAACGATTTGAATTGATTGTTTGCAATGATTATTGCCATTTAAACTAGGATATAGCACCTTAGCATCTGGCATGCATATGGGTTTTCTTGTATTAAGGCCAAACCTCAGCTTGTTTGACAGCCTACATTTACATATGGATCAACCACTGTTTACTTTATCTACGAAAACAATCAAGTCTTTCATTTAATATTCAAAATTTTAATACAGTGAGTACATGGTTAAAGTTAATATTATGTTTTTTTTTTAATTATTGTTATTAATGGATACCACTAGATAAGTGCAGGTGCAGTTCAAACAATGATTATTTACCATAAAAAGGACCCCACTGGAAACACATCTTCCAACTTGTTATCCTTGGTGTGATCATGGAGCTATAAAATTCACACCAAAATACTCCTATACTATTTTCACACAATTTATTGTATTGACATTGCTTATATAATGTAGTCTGTTTGCCTTGATATTCATAAATGGGGTTCACTCCTTTCCACTTTTGTGAGTGAATACTAAATAATAAAATACATGGTACCCCAACACATCCCAGTCCTGGGCCCCATGACTGGTTGTTAAGCCATTGTCGAATCATATTCTTCAATATAAATAAGATGCATAGAAAGTCTTAACTAGTAAGGCAGTGTTGTACCAGCGAGTCCTGGGTGCCGGAGACACAGGAAAATGTTGGGGTCCTTGCATGTCAGCAATGTATTTTCACTAATGAAATGACCTAGGGGTGGGTGATTCCAGCTACCTGAAATACATAAATGAGGCTGAAAAAACTGCATTTTTTGTTATACAATGTCAGTTTTATTTTTTTTAAATTGTGACGTGTTCAACCACGTAATTATGGAACCCATTTTGGCTGTAGAAATGAATGTCTTTTTATACTAAAATAAATAAATTTGCAACAGTTATACAAAGATGTCTATTAATACACTACAGTATCTGTGAAGACAGGATACATAGGGTAAATAATGTGCAATTGTTTATGACAATGGTTTATTATGTTTATGGTAGATCTTGAATTAGGTCAATAATGTGAGGTTGTTCAAAGGTCAGAAACAATCACAAGAGTCACCATTGTGACTGTGAACTATCTTGAAAAATGATGCTTCACTTACCCTCATCTTCTAAAGCGAGTGCAGACCCAGAAGAGGTTGCAAACCCCTTGAATGCTTGTAGTATGTTGTCTCGCTCTTTAGTATTTAGACTTTCTGTTAAGTTTATCTGAAATTTAAAAAAATAAGACAAATTAGAATTTAGCACTCAGGACTAGATTAAATTAATTTCAATATATAAACCAGCAGTGAATGCTGGCTTCATCAGGTAATAAAAAATAAAAATTAATATGTATTTAAATACCCAGATTTTATCATGAGTAATATTATAATAATTTATTATTATTATAGATTCTAATATAATGTTGGATGTAACTTGAAATATATAGTACGGTACATATATTTTGAATGCAATGTTCCAATAAAAGGTGATGAATGACCAGAAAGGTCTAATTTTTAACTACTTGACCATGATGATTTTTAACTAATTGACCCCCTGGGCGGGTGTGAGTAACTGTTTTTGGGGGGGGGGGGGGGGGGGGGTGTTCCCCGCACACCCCCTAGATACGCCACTGCTTGAAAGGAAATAAAATGATTGTGGGAAGATTGGGAGGAGAGAAAAGTTTGGCAGATAGCATCATTTCATTGAGTGATAGAGCAATAATAAATATTTGAAAAAAAATAATAAACTCATCTGACCTGAGTAGGTTGTAACTAAAATGAAGATGAGTGAGGGAAATTATCTGTCCCCACCAACCCCTTCCTCCACAAAGCTATGTTATTTCAAATTATTTGAAAATACTGTACCCACCTGTCCTTTTACATCACATTTGGAAAACAAAATTCAATATAAAAATGCGCAAGATTTTGGTAAAATAAAATTGTTAGATTTTATTCTAATTATGAACATTCTTTCTCAAGAATAATTAGGCCTCAGTTAGGCCTACACTACAGCGTTTCACAGAAAGTATTCTATTGTGTTGATAAAAGCAACACCATTCGATCAAGGAGGTATAGACTGATTTGATTTAGGATACAGTAGCCCATTTCCTGAACTGATTTGTAAATTTGAAAACACGCAAATATCGGAAATTCCCTCCTGCAGTTCGTTGTTGTGCAGCCGCAAATGCCATATACTTTAGGCCTATTGATCATTTCAAGGGTAGCACTGGGTCCTGGGAGCCACCCACAGCGACTGTGTACCGATCGTAGAAACATGGTTCATTCAAGTCAAGCACTTTCTAAATAAACCGATGAACACGGTGTACATTTTATTGGAGCGTGTCTCAGTAAGCTCCATGGTGTAAATATGTCATTGAAATCATATAGCTTTTGCATACCAATGAAAAAGCCACTGACTGCTCCGATCTGTTATAGTTCATCAACCACTCCGTCACGGTCTTAGCGAAGTAAAAGGGAAACAATGTGAGAAACGACTTAAGCATCGAGTTGATAAGTATACATACGGTACCCTAACCGCTGCGATCTAATGATCCCCGGGTCTAGCTTAGCGCCTCATGGGACACACAGTCAGTGTATTAGCATTACAAGCTGGCTACGCAGCGCTCTATGAACACAATTCACCTAGGCCTACACTACAAGGTTACAACAAATATACTGTATTCTACTACCACCACCACGAGCAATTACCAGTTTAAAAAAAAAAAAAAAAAAAAAAAAAGTGTAAATCTAGGCATTCCAGATTTGTGTCAACAAAACGTCCGGGTGCCAATAATGATGAACATTGAAGAGGCAAAATAAAAACCAACCAAAACATTTTCTTACCGTTAGAAAGCAAAAGGTTAATCCAATTAGTAGAGTAATATGGTTGCAAAATAAAGTTATAAAGGCAGCGATCTTCATGTTTGCTTGATCTATGTGCAGCACACTTGATAGGTTAATAATATTCCAGATATTAATAAATAATGTAAACAATAGGCATGAAGATGGCAAGTACCCCTGTTCGACACCAAAAAGAAGGATAGGCCTATCACACAGCAACTTTAACGAACGGTCCTCAACAAATCGATTAAGTAATTCCTTTCAAATGCTTTATTTCGTCGTGCAAAAAAACCTTAAAAGCTCACAGTCAAAAAATGACCAGTTCTAACATTGGAAGCTTTCTACCACTTCGTTTTATAGGGACCTCCATAATGTGAACTTCACATTTGGTTCGAAGTCGCGTGTAGTGTCACCTCCCGGTGAACAATCGTATCGAATTTCTCGGCGCCGATTGGTCAATAGTGATCATAGAAAGGTGATTGGCTGACTTGGAAAGAGTAAAGAAATAAGAGCACCGCCTACAAAAAACGTTTGAACGTTATAACAACTAATTCGCTAAATTAATAACGCACTGTTTATATTAATAACAACGTTAAAAATCTAACAATTAGCAAGTGTGTATCATACAGCAAATATAATGCCACATTCAAAACCCGTTTTGGGATTGATTCTTGTTGAAAATTGAAAACATGGCATACTGTTTAATTTCTTTCAGGTTCAGTACAGAAGACATCTCCATGGTTTAGCCTCTGTACTCTGAGTAGTTGTTTTTTCATGAACTTTTAGTACTTTCACTTACATATATTACCGTATATCTTCCAAATCAATGGTAATAGTAATAATAATGATAGCAATTGTACTGTAAATAATAATAATAATAATAATAATAATAATAATAATAATATAAAAAAATAAATAGGCCTAATAATAATAATAATAATAATAATAATAATAATAATAATAATGATGATGATGATAATGATGAAGCTAGACCCGCACTCTAGGCCAGAAGACCAACCACACAATTTGGGCCATAGCCATAAAACCCTATCAGAGATTTTTTATTCCGATCATGCCCAAGGCACTAATAGGCCCTTGGTTCGGACCCCCAGTCGGACACCCTGTCGGCAAAGTTTTGAAGCCCTGCTGGGCCCCAATACAACTGTTGCGAAAGTAGTATCTAATTATCGGCAATGGTACAGTAGTAGTCTCTATTTTATCGTCATACGAACAGTTCGATAGGCTAAATTATTTTAATACGGTGTCTGATTTATAGATCGCTTGTTTAAGGCGTCCAGTTATGGTTGCATATGATCTGTAAAGTTATGAACACCATTTACTGGGACAGTTGTTCTTTTTCATTAGAAACAATCAACATAAACACAGGTTTACACGAGATCAAACTATTAGGCCTCATGACTTGCTGTTTGTAATATGAGGTGCCCGTCTTTTGAAGCAGACGTTTGCGAAAACATAATTACAAGAATGACGGATAATCCGATATGAAACAAGTATTAAAATTCCAATGACAAATGACATCAACCAAATCAGAAGGTCAAATTTTGCGGACTTTTTGTTATTAAAAAATAGCAGGCCTAGTACACTTACCCTTTAAAACACATAACGAAAACAAAGGAATTTCAGGCAATATTTCCCATTCTGAGAGCTCACTTTGGAATTAGGTAATGTAGGTTTTTATGGCATAGAGTTTCTTACCAAGTAGACAAGGCACTCACCGCATCCTCACCAACAACGGAAGGGAGGGAGAGGCAATGTTTAATTCGAAGTAAATCAGAACCACATATTATTTAGACAAAGTCTTTAAGTAAAACAAAAACAGAATTAAAATGTTTAATAAGATTAGGAGTAACATCATTTTTCAGTTCCACGGATTTCAATGCATGGTACCAGTACTAAATTTAAATTCATTTGAGTTTCTTGCCAAAATTGAATCAACGGCAGACAGACGATGACGATCGTATTAAACTAGAAACCATATTAAACAGTCTCCAAGTTTCGTGAACTGCTCGTTTCTGTCAGCTGAGGAAGTGTGAAGACACTTTGAACTTCATGATAAGAAAAACACGTATATTATGAAAAATATTTACACTTATTTCACAGTTTCCTAGCGGTGAAGGCCACAGACTGGCCTAGCTAGCCTTGGCTGCCCCGGGGAAATTCTGGGACATTGTCGGCATCACAAAAGCAGATATTTGCATGTAATTCGTACACAAATTATAAGTTTAAATTGCAACGCCATGTTAAAAGATCATGAGGAACATACTAAATAAACGTATTTTACTGAGAATGACTTCATATCAGCATATCGGTATTGCCCTTCAGCACACCTGCCCTATAGGCTACCTTAGCTAATGTCATGGTGCGTCGGCAAACCAGTTTTAAGTTATCATGAAATTAAATAGCTGATGTGAATTAATCGCTATGGTGGGAATGAGGTTTAAACACAAATACATTGTTTAGGCCTATTGGTTGCCATGTGCACTGATAGTTCTAAAAATCCGGAGCGGACAAAACCTTTTGTCTGGGGGTACTGCTCACCTATAGGTCCCCTGCTCGCCTAGGGCCCCGAAGCCGAAGGGAGTTCACCCAGATACGAATCCTGACGTTTCGGAAAGACGATTTAATAAGCACGCCTCTAAATTATTCCATAAACAACAATCGTATTGTAGGCTTTGATCAAATTTGCATGATCGATGGGGTAGGCCTTTGAGAATATAAAACGTCCAAATCATCATTATCGATCCGATTATTGAGGATTAATTCTATGTTTTTTAAAATTTTAACACAACATAATTTTCATAATATTATCGGACTAAAGTAATGAGCTATATTATCTGCGATAGGAATTCGCTGCTAATAAGACAATTTATGTAGGCATACATGATGTTAATTTAGCATATAGTGTGTTACGGTAAGTTTCCGAAATATATCCCCTAAGTCTATCAAGGAAACTTAGTTTTTTCTTGAACTTTCATATACTGTAGGCGGGGGAGTGTCAAGGCCTTGATGATATCTACATTTACATACCGTAATTTTCAAAACATCTTGAAAAGTTGGCACTTCGCTAGCCTGTCAATGTGATAGTATGTTTGTGAGGAGGGGAGAAGAAAATGAATGTGACGGCAGACACGACGACCTACAAGATGATTCTTGTAGAAAATCCAAAAAGTTAACTTTTGGGATTAATTTTTTCATCGATGGATGAACGGATAAAATATGTAAATTAAATTTGCAGTTAATTGTATTTTATCCCGAGAGACATTTAAACCCTTTGCATTGGCGTATCAGGTAGCACGAAGGTGAATTGAGAGGGCTTATAGCTGGCAAAATAATGCGGTACTGTAAAAAATAAAAATAAAAAAAAAAAAAAAAAAAAAAAAATTTCATATCAATCTTTTTATTATCATAAAAACATTTCAAAAGTTTTCAAAAATGTATGAATAATGAGGGCGCTATTTAAGAATTGTTTCGATGTCCGGTAACCTTTATGTCAACAACACATCATCCTTCCGCGGAATTATTGTTCTCATTGCCAGATAATTTAAGTGGCGACAGATAAATAAATTGTTTCCCTTTAGCTTTCATTATACTCTCACTCCCGCAATACAATTAGGCCTATGTGCTGGTGTTTCTAGACGAGTGCATGATTTGTTAATTTAGTGAAATAATACTGCTTCCGTTATTATTATAAGCCCCACGTTAGCACCTACTCCAAAATTAATATGCATATTGGTAGAGAAAAATAATAGAAAAAAGTCCATTCATAAATATAATAAGCATAATAATTAATATGACGATAATAATTGATTACGTCAAACCTCAATTATTTAGAATAGTATTCTAAATACAGCATCTAAAGAATTCCTTCAATGTCGGAAGTAAGATGCTACATAGGCCTACACCGCCTACACATACCTTGCCCTCCAATTCGAGACCATCTTTGGGGTGGTTGTTCGGTCTCCGATTAGGGGTTAACGAACCCTCTTATACACATCTTGTGTATAAGAGACAGCCCGCACTCTAGGCCAGAAGACCAACCACACAATTTGGGCCATAGCCATAAAACCCTATCAGAGATTTTTTATTCCGATCATGCCCAAGGCACTAATAGGCCCTTGGTTCGGACCCCCAGTCGGACACCCTGTCGGCAAAGTTTTGAAGCCCTGCTGGGCCCCAATACAACTGTTGCGAAAGTAGTATCTAATTATCGGCAATGGTACAGTAGTAGTCTCTATTTTATCGTCATACGAACAGTTCGATGTAGGCTAAATTATTTTAATACGGTGTCTGATTTATAGATCGCTTGTTTAAGGCGTCCAGTTATGGTTGCATATGATCTGTAAAGTTATGAACACCATTTACTGGGACAGTTGTTCTTTTTCATTAGAAACAATCAACACAGGTATATATATAGTAGCATAAATACAAATCATGATAGATGTTAACACTGTTGATTGTATATAAATCATCAAAGAAGGTAAATACAGTGTTATAATAAAGGACATGATAAATAAATAAATAAATAAATGAATACATTGTACAATAAAATGCCTCCCACGGGATTCGAACCTGCGAAGCACTCAAATCAATGTTGTTTTCTAAATTTATTAGACTTACACTGCAGTATAAACAATATAGCAAAAAGGTAATAAAGTCAAAATATGATGACATACACATAAAAATAAATGCAGAATAATTCACTTCAAAAAATCTATTATCAAATAATAACTAAAGCGACATAGATAAAGTTAAATACATATATTTTTTTCATTTGGTGC